ACAAAGAAAGAATTTTTAAATAGACAAAAATTTAAAAGTCCAGCCTTAAAAGTTTGTGACACCATTCCTACTCAGACACCCACAAGTCACCCACAGACTTTACTCACTGTCCTTCCAGTGCTAGGGGCTCCAAAGGATTGAAGTCCCTGGGCAGATAGAGTCACAGGAGAAAACTCCATGGGTTTAGTCGTCAAGAAGCTGCCTTCAAGGGCCCTTTTTTTCTTTTCTAACTGAATTTCCTGCCACAATCCAAATTTCTTTTTTTTAATTTTGAGATGGAGTTTCGCTCTTGTCACCCAGACTGAAGTACAATGGCATGATCTTGGCTTGCTCACTTGCAACCTCTGCCTCCCGGGTTCAAGTGATTCTCCTGTCTCAGCTTCCCAAGTAGCTGGGATTACAGACATGTGCCACCACGCCTGCAAATTTTTGTATTTTTAGTAGAGATGGGATTTCACCATGTTGACAAGGCTGGTCTCGAACCCCTGACCTCAGGTGATCTGCCCTCCTCAGCCTTCCAAAGTACTGGGATTACAGGCGTGAGTCACCACACCTGGCCTCACAACCCAAATTTTCTTTTTTTTTTAAGATGGGGTTTCACTATGACGGCCAGGCTGGTCTTGAACTCCTGACCTCAGGTAATCCACCCACCTCGGCCTCCCAAAGTGCTAGGATTACAGGTGTGAGCCACCGCGCCCGGCCTCCCAAATTTCTATTGAATGCAGCAAATTCTAGTCTCCTGTTGAGCAAGAAAAATCCACATCACATAAGTGATGCTTGTGCATCTCTGAGAGTCATAAAAATGAGATCATCCTTAGCTTTTGTTAATGCATTTGCTATTGTGCCATGAACCAGAGGTGGGCTTCAGTCAGTGATTTATAGCAACAATCAAATCCCTGAGACAGTGGTTTGGTGTCAATAATAACGTACTTCACTATGAGTCACTGACTTACTTCAGACTTTCTTTAATTCAAGAGCATCAACCTTCTAGGGAATGAACATCTGAACCGGAATGATTGTGTACACCATTAACAAAAGCCCTAGAGAGCCTGGCATGGCTGGTTCAGCCCCAAATGCTACATCTGACCGCAAGTATGCAATCATCTGAGAGCTGTTTCACCCTTAGTTAGTAACGTGCTAAAAGCTTGGGGCACCACTTTCTTTCCTTTTTGAGATGGAGTTTTGCTCTTGTTGTCCAGGCTGGAGTGCAATGGCACAGTCTCGGCTCACTGGAACCTCCGCCTCTTGTTTTCAAGCAATTCTTCTTCCTCAGCCTCTCAAGTAGCTGGGATTATAGGCATCCACCACCATGCTCAGCTAATTTTTGTATTTTTAGTAGAGATAGGGTTTTGTCATGTTGTCCAGGCTGGTCTCAAAGTCCGCACCTCAGGTGATCCACCCGCCTCGGCCTCCCAAAGTGCTGGGATTACAGGCATGAGCCACTGCACTTGGCCTGGGGCATCACTTTCTTTTTTTTATTTTTATTTTTTATTTTATTTTTTTCTTTGAATTAAACTTATACAAAACCACCATCAGAAGAAGCATCACTTTCAAAGTGTCCTTCTCAGAATCTTATTGACAGTAAAACTGTACCTCTGTAACTGTCCTATTAAATGACCAAAAAATTTTGACTATTGAATCCATGGCAGCACCAAACAAGTTTATCAAAACGTTTTGGAATACATTCCTTTACTTGAAGCTAAGTTGATGGCTTGATTGAATTATTGTGGCCATTTACACAACATAGGCTAAATGTTTCCTAGAACTGGCAAAAGATCAAAGGGTTACTTTACTTATTAATCATCTTAAATAACACAAGAAAGCCTTTTATTATTATTATTATTATCATTATTTGAGACAGGGTCCAGCTCTGTCACACAGGCTGGAGTGCAGTGACACAATCTCAGCTCACTGCAACCTCTGCTTCGAGAGCTCAAGTGATCCTCCCACCTCAGCCTCCCAAGTAGCTCGGACCACAGGCGTGCACTGCCACGCCTGGCTAATTTTTGTATTTTTTGTAGAGATGGTGTCTTGCCATGCTGCCCAGGCTGGTCTCAAACTCCTGAGCTCAAGTGATCCGCCCACCTCAGCCTCCCAAAGTGCTGGCACTACAGGAGTGAGTGCCAGGTCCAAGAAAGCCTTTTAAAGTAAAACACCAGGCCAGGTGTGGTGGCTTTTGCCTGTAATCCCAACACTTTGGGAGGCCGAGGTGAGAGGATCACTTGAACCCGGAGTTCCAGAACCTCCCCACCCCCTGCCCTGTGCAGCATAGCAAAACCTTGTCACTATAAAAAAAAATTAAAAATTATGGCTGGGCATGGTGACTCCGCCTGTAATCCCAGCACTGTGGGAGGCTAAGGCAGGCGGATCACCTGAGTTCAAGACCAGCCTGGCCAACATGGTGAAATCCTGTCTCCGCTAAAAATACAAAAATTAGCCAGGTGTGGTGGCAGGCACCTGTAATCTCAGTTACTCTGGAGGCTGAGGCAGGAGAACTGCTGGAACCCAGGAGGCAGAGGTTGCAGTGAGCCCAGATTGTGCCATTGCACTCCAGCCTGGCGACAGAGCTAGACTCTGCCTCAAAAAAAAAAAAAAAAAAAATTAAAATGAGCTGGATGTGGTGTTGCTCGTAGGTCCTACCTACTCAGGAGGCTGAGACAAAAAGATTGCTTGAGGCTAGGCATTCAAGACTACAGTGAAGGACTGGGATCAGTGTCTCATGCCTATAATCCCAGCACTTTGGTTGGCGGAAGCAGGTGGATCACTTGAGCTCAGGAATTCGAGACCAGCCTGAGAAGCATGGGGAAACCCCATCTCTACCAAAACTACAAGAAATTAGCTAGACATGATAATTAGCCAGGCATGGTGGCTCAAGCCTGTGGTCTCAGCTACTCGGGAGGCTGAGGTGAGAGGATCACTTGAGCCCAGGAGGCGAAGATTACAGTGAGCCAAGATCACACCACTGCACTCCAGGCTGGGTGACAGAGTGAGACCCTGTCTCAAAAAAATTATAATCATAATTAAAGGCACCAAAAATAAATAATTGATGGTAATGCTGACCCAAATTGAGGTTAACCTTCAAATTACTTATAAAAAATGTAGTATATCATAAGAAAGTCAATAGTAAGAATTTTAATGTTTGTAAAGACAGTGTTTTCATGTTGGCCAAGCTGATCTGGAACTCCTGACCTCAGGCGATTCACCTGCCTCGGCCTTCCAGAGTGCTGAGATTACAGGCGTGAGCCACCGTGCCTGGCCTAGATGTAATTTTTTCATAAAATGTTCATGTTTGTGATGTTTACATGCCTTAATTTCTTGACCTAATATACAAGCATAAACAAGAGTTCAATCCTTTTTAACTAGTTGTCTGTGCTGTGAATGCCCTTGCCCACCATGTGCTCAACAAGGACCTCAAGGACATTGTTGGTGACTTCAGAGGCTTCTATAGGCAGCTCGCGAATGATGGGCAGCTCAGATGGGTAAGGGACCTATTTTGTAAAATGCTCATATAAATAATGTTACCAAGGTCTGAGATGTCCTTTGAGTGTAACAATGTGAAAATGGAGATGGGTTGGTTTACTTGTTTATTTATTTATTTGAGATGGAATCTTACTCTATTGCCCAGGTTGGAGAGCAGTGGCACAATCTCGGCTCACTGCAACCTCCACCTCCTGGGTTCAAACGATTCTCCTGCTTCAGCCTCCCGAGTAGCTGAGACTACAGGCGTGCACTACCACACCTGGCTAATTTTTGTAATTTTAGTAGAGATGGGGTTTTGCCATGTTGGCCAGGCTGGTCTCAAACTCCCAACCTCAAGTGATCCACCCCCATTGGCCTCCCAAAGTGCTGGGATTACAAGCATGAGCCACCACGCCCAGCCTAGAGATGAGTTTATAATTTTAAAGTAGAACATTTTATTCAGCTAAATTTGGGCTTGAGTCGTTTAGATTATCAGTATTTTGAGGTAAACAACTCATTTATGTAAGACAGATGATCTAAATGACTCAAGCCCGAATTTAGCTGAATAAAATGTTCTACTATGGAGGTGAGGTGCTGAGAGTTGGGTCCTGAGAGCTCTCTCTTCTCTAAGGACCTCATCTCCTGCTCCCTGATTGGAAAGTGGTCTAGAGGATAAAGTAATGAATAGGCGATCTTTTTATGGAGAAACAACATGAGTAGTATTAGAGATATAAGAGAAGGTCATTAAAGAGAAAACAGTGAGAAGAGCAAAGTTAAAAAGATGGAAGACCGGCTGGGCGCGGTGGCTCATGCCTGTAATCCCAGCACTTTGGGAGGCCGAGGCAGCTGGATCACCTTGAGAGCAGACTGACTATCATGGAGAAACCCCATCTCTACTAAAGATACAAAATTAGCTGGGTGTGGTGGTGCATGCCTGTAATCCCAGCTACTTGGGAGGCTGAGGCAGAAGAATTGCTTGAACCCGGGAGACAGAGGTTGTGGTGAGCCGAGATTGCGCCATTGTACCTGGGCAACAAGAGTGAAACTCTGTCTCAAAAAAAAAAGGGAAGGCCGTCATGCCTTTTAGGTTCATAGTTTGGTATTTGAACTAATGAACTATAAATTCAAGGCTTGAAAGAGTGAGGCTCTGGAGAAAGGATTCCAACACAGTAAGACGAATTTAGTACCCTGACCTTTACCTTTGTCCCGTGATACCGGGTTTTGTCTTTTCCTAACTTGGCTCAGTCTGCTATCCATGCACAGAGAAGGGCACAAGAGAATGTACTTTCTATAGTGCCTAGGATTTCATCTTTGACTTTATACAGAGAATATTAAACTTACCTTGAAAGATGTCACCTTGAGGCCGGGTACGGTGGCTCACGCCTGTAATCCCAGCACTTTGGGAGGCTGAGGCAGGCAGATCACCTGAGGCCGGGAATTCAAGAGCAGCCTGACCAACATGGTGAAACCCTCTCTCTTAAAAAAAAAAGAAAAGAAAAGAAAGACGTCACCTTGAAGAAGTTCCCACTGGCTGAATTTGAGCATCAAAATAAATATAATAGCAATGGCTTATAACCCATTGAATAAAATCCATGAGTCCATTCAGATAATGAACAATTGGCTGGGCGCAGTAGCTCATGCCTATAATCCCAGCACCTTGGGGCTGAAGCAGGAGGATCACATAAGGCCTGGAGTTCAAGACCAGCCTGGGCAATATAGTGAGACCCCCATCTGTACTTTTTAAAAATAAAAATAATAAAATAAACTTTTAAAAAGAGATAACAAGGTCAAGCCCACCACTACAGCTGATTAAAATCTAACAAATATGAAAGGAATAACATCAGAAAATAACCATAACTGTCATAGCTACAATTAATTGAGGCAAGAGTCATCAATAGATGCTCAAATTTTGAGACAATAACAACTTCCTTACTTGGAAAATGAAATGGTAACTTCCCAGTGGAGACACCAAATGGACACTAAGTTACCTAAGTGGTAAAAGCTAACAACCCTAATAACCCTAATAATAAAACAAAATGACATCATCACTTGTGTAGTGTTTGTGCCAAAAAATGTATAACCTGAATCTAATCATGAAGGAACGCCAGATTGAGGGATGCTGTATGGATCAATTGGTCTATACTGTTTAAAATGCTGATAACATTTACAAAAGAAGAAGGAAAATTGCTCCAGGTAAGAAGAGACTACAGAGACATGACAACTAAAGGCAGTATGTGATCCCAGATGGGATACGGATTAGGCTAAAATAAAATACATTATTGGAAAAAAAAATGGTGATATTTAATTATAGATTAGCCTTTGGATAACAGTATTCTGTCAGTGTTGTATTCCCTAAGTGTGATCATTGTACTACGGTTATATTTTAGAAGTCCTTGTTTTCAGGAACTATATACTGATGTATTTAGGGTTAAAAGAGCTTTATTGGCCGGGCGCGGTGGCTCACGCCTATAATCCTAGCACTTTGGGAGGCCGAGGCGGGTGGATCACAAGGTCAAGAGATCGAGACCATCCTGGTCAACATGGTGAAACCCTGTCTCTACTAAAAATACAAAACATTAGCTGGGCATGGTGGTGCGTGCCTGTAATCCCAGCTGCTCAGGAGGTTGAGGCAGGAGAATTGCCTGAACCCAGGAGGCGGAGGTTGTGGTGAGCCGAGATTGCGTCATTGCACTCCAGCCTGGGTAACAAGAGTGAAACTCCGTCTCAAAAAAAAAAAAAGAGCTTTATTATATTTTATAGGCCGGGCGCAGTGGCTCATGTCTGTAATCCCAGCACTTTGGGAAGCCGAGGCGGGTGGATCACCTGAGGTCACGAGTTCGAGACCAGCCTGACCAACATGGAGAAACCCTGTCTCTACTAAAAATACAGAATTAACTGGGCATGGTGATGCATGCCTGTAATCCTAGCTACTTGGGAGGCTGATGCAGAAGAATCACTTGAACCCAGGAGGCAGAGGTTGCAGTGAGCCGAGATCGCACCATTGCACTCCAGCCTGGGCAACAATATTTGCAACTTTATTCAAATGGTTCAGAAAAAAAGAAGTACATATATATGTGTGTGAGTGTCTGTTCATATATCTGTGTGTGTGTGTGTGTGTGTGTGTGTATGTGAGTGTGTGTGTGTGTGTGTGTGTGTGTGTGTAGAGAGAGGGAGAGAGAGAAGAGAGGAAAAGACAGGTGTTTTTCCTACTATTCTTACAACTCTTCAGTAGGTTAGCAACTGTTTTTTTTAAAAAAAAAAAACCTTAACATTTAGGTGGGTTTCTATTGCTACCTTTTAATTCTTGAAATGTGTCCCTGGATAGAAGACCTAAATATTTTTTTCTTTTGTTTTTTTTGAGACAGAGTCTCGCTCTGTTGCCCAGGCTGGAGTGCACTGGTGCATTCTAGGCTCACTGCAACCTCTGCCTTCTGGGTTCGAGTGATCCTTTCACTTCAGCCTCCCGAGTAGGGACTACAGGCACGCACCACCAAACCTGGCTAATTTTTCTGTTTTCAGTAGAGACAGGGTTTCACTATGTTGACCAGGCTTGCCTCGGTCCCAAAGTCCTGGGATTACAGGTGTGAGCCATCACACCCAGACCTCTTTTTCATTTCTAAGAAGTGCCGTTGTGCTTTGTTTCCTAACCAGATTGGTCCAGAGAAGGGCGTGGTGCACCTGGCGACAGCAGCCATCCTAAATGCAGTGTGGGACTTGTGGGCCAAGCAGGAGGGAAAGGTAACTCCCCTCACAAATGCTTCGGAGGGTCCTGGGAACCTTAAGACACTGACTTTCCCTAAGGCCATGGGAAAGATGGACACATTGCAGGTCCCCAGAAGGAAATACAGAGAATTGCTTTGGTGTTTATTCTCTCCTGAGAGGTTTTGGCAGTAGGTAGGGAATGGCAGATGGATGGGATGGTGGAAGGCACAGGCAGCAGTAGAGGCGGGTGGGGAGAACCTGATGGCTGAGAGCCAGTGTTTGCTGCCAGTGCATTTACTGTCAGGAAAAAAATGGGGGCACTTTACACATATGTCTTACAAATCCTTTCTTTTTTACTTCAAGCCTGTCTGGAAGTTACTCGTGGACATGGTAAGTAGAATCTTTAATGTTACAATCATTTCTGAAAATGAAATGAATTTCTTGGATGACTTGCCTTTTGATGATCAGTAAATATATTCAGGACTGTCTGTTGATCACTGTAGTGATGATAGAGCCAGTAAAATATGACATTTGTTTTCTGATATCTGACGTAACAGATGACTGTACTCATGCAGGCAGGGTGGCACGAGGGGCAGCAGAAGGGGTCCTGCTCCCCAACCGTGTACCTGTAACATGCAGTCCCAGTTCTCTGAGCCTCCATTGCCTGTGACAAGAGGATCATCCTAACTTCTCTAGGAACCTCACAGAACTAAAGATTAGTGAGAAAAGCACCTCATAAACTTTTCAAAGCAAGATGTTATAATGTTATGATGATATCCAGGCTGGGCGTGGTGGCTCACGCCTGTAATCCCAGGACTTTGGAAGGCTGGAGGATGGCTGAAGCCCAGGAGTTTCAGGCTGCAGTGAGCTATAATGGCACCACTACACTCAAGTGACAGAGCAAGACCCTGTCTGGAAAAACGAAAAGATACTCTCCAGTCCCTTTGACACCAGGAATAAGATCAGGCCATTGCAGCCTCTGCTGTACAGTTGCAGCAGAGAAGGAGCTGAACACTGAATTCTAAAGATATGCACTTGGCTGTTTTCTTTCTCCTTTTCATAGCAGAGGTGAGCAACTGGATGCCGAGGAGGAAAAAACTGGGCAAGTTATAGGGGAATGAGCTTCAGACCCATGCAGAGCTGGCTGTGAGTCCGGGTTTCACTGCTCACTAGCTGCATGACCTTGAGCATGTGACTCCCCCACTCTTAGCTGCAGTGACACCTGGGTGGTGGTTAAAAACCTCTGGGTCTGCAAATGAAGCCCCTTGCTATTAGTTGGCAGCAAAATTAAGGAAAAACAAAGAACACCATGGCCTTGAAGAGTGTTGGTCAGGAGACTGCGCCTCCTCTGGAGGAAAGCGGACAGGAGGCTGTCACATCATCTCTGACATGGAGCGTGGCCTCGGGGCCATCCACAGGGGAAGGATGCAGAGCTCTTGAGCCCCTTCTGGACTCACGGTTGGCCTTTTACACGGGTGGAAGAGGTAGCCACCAAAAGGGAATGATTTGCAGGCCACCAGAAATGTGCCTGAGGTCCCACCTGTGGACTGTCCATTTTTGGATCCTGGTCCCTTTCAATGCTGGTACTCTTTTTTTTTTTCTTGTAATTTAATTTTCAGTGTCTGGTGATCAGTGTTTTTTGAGATGGAGTTTTCTTCTTGTTGTCCAGGCAGGAGTACAGTGGTGCAATCTCGGCTCACTGCAACCTCCTCCTCCCGGGTTCAAGCGATTCTCTTCCCTCAGCCTCCCAAGTAGCTGGGACTGCAAGCCCCTGCCACTATGCTCAGCTACTTTTTTGTATTGTTAGTAGAGATGAGGTTTCACCATGTTGGTCAGGCTGGTCTCTCTCGAACTCCTGACCTCAGGTGATCCACCCACCTCGGCCTCCCAAAGTGCTAGGATGACAGGCATGAGTCACCCACCCAGCCCAGAACTCTTAAAAGAAGCAGAATCTCAGGGTTGAAAGAGCTTTTAGGATTTTTGACAGTTATGGTAGATTATTATGGGTCACTATAAGACCTTAGTGGGAATGGAGCTACTGGCTATTTTCCAACTGACTGTTCGGTCAAGGTGGGGAGAGGCCTCAGCACCAGGCCCTGCCGAGATGTTGGTGGGTGGTCAGCCAGGTGGGCCACTCGCCCCAGTTCATGCACTCAGTTCCTGTGCGCGAAGCAAACATCCCATTTGGCAGAAGAAACTCCTGAAGATCACGCTTCTAGTGAGCAGTGGCCCAGTGCTGGGCAGCCTTCTTTCCTCCGCAGTTCACTGCTCCGGGACCGTCCTCCGGCCTCGAAGCCCACCCTGGACAGCCCTGTGGTGTGGAGCTCATGTGCACAGTGCTGCCAGGCGTTCATCTCTTTGCTGAGCTCCTGCTGAGTGTTTGCTTGGGGCCAGGCCCTCCTTCCAGGAAACCATGTCAGCTGGAAAGAACAGGGTGGCGGCGGGTGGCGAGGGGTCAGAGCATGAGCATCTGAGGGCTTCATCAGGGGACAGCGAGGAGCCTCTAAAGGACTCTACACTTAGGAATGATAGAATCAAACAATTTAACAAAGCCCCAAAGGTCCCTGCCAGGAAAGAATGAGCCCATGTATCACCATAAGCAACTTCTTAGACGCTTAACTCCTCCCTGTCATCCCAGCACTTTAGGAGGCCGAGGAGGGAGGATCACTTGAAGCCAGAAGCTCAAGATCAGCCTGGCTAACACAGTGAGACTCCATCTCTACAAAAATAAAAATAAATTAGCTGGGCATGGTGGCACACATCTGGAGTCCCAGCCACTCAGGAGGCTGAGGCAGGAGGATCACATAAACCCAGGAGACTGAGGCTGCAATGAGCTATGATGGCACCACCGCACTCCAGCCTGGGCAACAGAGTGAGAGCTTGTCTCTAAAAAAAGAATAATGCATAATTTTTAAAAACGAAATATAACCCAACTTAGAATTGATTTGGGCCTCTTGCCTTCCTGTTACATTACCAGGATCCCAGGACGCTGGTGTCCTGCATAGACTTCAGGTACATCACCGATGTCCTGACTGAGGAGGATGCCCTAGGTGAGTTCAGAAGCTTTCTGGGATACACCGATGTGCACGTGCAGAAGTAGGATGCTTTGTAGCCTAAAAGGGTGAGTGATGCTTTTTATTTCTTCCAGAAATACTGCAGAAAGGTCAAGTTGGTAAAAAAGAAAGAGGTGGGTTGTAAGAACATTTTCTTCATTGTTTTTGCTAACATTGCCCATTTTTGAGTGCCCCTGTCCTTTTGGGGTACACACTGCCCTCCCAAATGCCCCATGCTGAGCAGCCAGGCCTTCAGAGCAACATTCAAGTCTGCATGGTGAAGCTTCCTGGGTATGACCCCTGACTGCAGGGTTTGCTTCAGCCACTGCTGAAAGGAAGTCTGGCTTAAGGAGGGTCCTTGGGGAACAGGGCAGTCTGTGAGGGTATCCTAATCACCTGGGTTTGACATCCTAGTAATTTGTGGCTGGGTGTGTGTGAAAGGCAGGGTCAGGAGAACAGCAGGACTCTCCATGGGAAACAGCTTAGCTACAGGCACTTCCAATTCCGAAAGGCCCTGGAAAGTGCAAAATGTTGATGGCGCTGTGTTTTCACAGAGGAGCAAATGCTGGCACAAGGCTACCCTGCTTACACAACATCGTGCGCCTGGCTGGGGTACTCAGATGACATGTTGAAGCAGGTGGGCATTTTAACCTGGCTTTGTAGTTAGGCTGCATGGGGAGAAACCAACCTGTTTTTTCATCTATACTCACACCACTACTCTCAATACCTCACTCTGACACCAGACGTGTACGGTTTTCTCTCTCATGCCAACCAGTTCTCCACTTTTCCATGGACACCAGCTGGGTGTCCTGCTATTTTACTCAATTCTGACACCACTTACCTGGAGCTAGCCTCAGACCCCACAGGCTAAGTGCTCAGTCTTCCAGAACTGCCCCGTGGCAGATGCCAATTGCAAGTCCACATTGTCACCTGTGCTTCTGACTGGCTTTGCCTCTGATGGGAGGTTCCCACAAACCCCGCTTTGAGTTCAATCATTTGGTGGATTGGCTCACAGAATTCAGGGAAACACTATGTTTACTCATTTATTATAAAGGATACAACTTAAGAACAGCCAAACTGAAGAGACGCATAGGGCAAAGTGTGAGGATGGGTACAGAGCTGCCGTGTCCTCTCCAGGTGAGCCACGCTCCCAGCACTGCCATGTGTTCACCAACCTGGAAGCTCTCTGAACCCTGTTCTTTGGGGGTTTTATGGAGGCTTCAGTATTTAGGTATGATTAAGTATTTGGCCATTAGCCATTGATTCAACATTCAGCCCCCTCCCCTCCCCAGAGATCTAGGATAGGCTAAAGTTTCCAGCCCCACAATCGTGCCTCCCTGGTTTTTCTGTCCCCAGCCCCATCCTGAAGCTACATAGGGGACCTCAGCAGGGCTATCTCATTCACATACAGAAGACACTCCCATCACTCAGGAGATGCCAAGGGTTTTAGGGACTGTGTGCTAGGAAATAGGGGGACAGAAATGGGGACAGAGACCTAATACATATTCCTTCTTATATCACATGGGCTTTATATTCCAGCCTCTCTGGGAGAAATTTAATAATTTCTTGTTCACTTTTCTAATCATTTGACCAGGTGTGGTGGCTCATGCCTGTAATCCCAGTACTTTGGGAGGCTGAAGCAAGTGGATCATCTGAGGTCAAAAGTTCAAAACCAGCCTGGCCAACATGGTGAAACCCTATCTCTACTAAAAATACAAAACAAAAAAATTAACTGGGCGTGGTGACATGCACCCGTAGTCCCGCTACTCAGGAGGCTGAAGCAGGATAATTGCTTGAACCCATTGCCACTATACTCCAGCCTGGGTGACAGAGTGAGACTCCATTTCGAAAAAAAAAATCATTTTGGATACAAGGCCTCATTCTGAAAGTACACGAGCAAATGCAAAGCCATTCACCTTGTGGACCCAGGGACTCTGTGACTTACGGAGTCACCTTGGGCTCTGGAAGGTGACAGTCTATGGTGTGATTCCCAGGCAGCACAGCGGCAGACCCACTGTGAGATGAAGAAATAATGCCTGTTTCCTGGGATGGTTTTGAGGATTCAGATACATGCTGTAAGTTGTGTCACGCTCAAGGCACCATGCTGGCACATGGCATGCAGTTGGCACATGGTGGATTTATTACTATTTCTCTTTACACTGTGCCCACTTTGAGAGAGGAGAGAGGGAGGCTGACTTCTGCATGTTACTCTTAAATCCACTCATTCTATGGATGCCACAGAATATCCTAGTTTTTTTTTTTTTTTTTTTTTTTTTTTGAGACTGAGTTTCGCTCGTTACCCAGGCTAGAGTGCAATGGCGTGATCTCGGCTCACCGCAACCTCCGCCTCCTGGATTCAAGCAATTCTCCTGCCTCAGCCTCCCGAGTAGCTGGGACTACAGGCATGCACCACCATGACCAGCTAATTTTTGTATTTTTAGTAGAGATGGTGTTTCACCATGTTGATCAGGATGGTCTCAATCTCTTGACCTTGTGATCCACCTGCCTCAGCCTCCCAAAGTGCTGGGATTATAGGTGTGAGCCACCGTACCCAGCCTATCCTAGCTTTAAAAAGAGAGATCAATGCTATATTCCCCTTCCAGGAAGGTTGTGACCATTGAAAAAATGGTTCCCATAGAGATGAGGAAAGAAAGTCACCCTACAAGTAAAAAGTGATCTCTGTCAGCTAAGCTGTTTCTGCTGTTAATTTCAACAACACATGGGGGTTGCTCTGTTCTATGCTATGACCACAATGCTTGATCAGCAATGACTGATGTCTGGTCAGACTGAGGGGCCCTCTCCAGTGTGTGACCCTGTGCTCCTTTCCCACAGCTCTGCACCCAGGCACTGAAGGACGGCTGGACCCGGTGAGTGTTTGTGATGATGGACCTGACTTTCCCAGTTGGCGGCAGGAAGGACCCAGGCAGTGGAGAGGAGCCAAGGAATAAAAGGCACCCACAGGCTCATAGGGATGCATAAGAGAAGTTTCCCCTTAGGCCAGCCTCTTTCTCTAAAGGCAGGATGTGAGTCCTCATTTGAATTCTAGGACATCAGAGTTGAAAGAGGCCTGGGAGATTGTTGATTTCAGGCCCTAGAATAGAAATCCATTCTTTACCATCAGTAGCAGCATCGATTCAGCTTTTGCAGGAATACCTCCAGAGGCAGCGAGCTTAACTTGGTGAGGCACTTTTCATTCTTTGAGGGCTTTAAGTATTAGGTGGGGTTTTTTTGTTTGTTTTGAGTTTCACTTTTGTCGCCCAGGCTGGAGTGCAATGGCACAGTCTCACTGCAACCACCACCTCTTGGGTTCAAGCCATTCTCCTGCCTCAGCCTCCTGAGTCACTGGGATTACAGGCACCCTCCACCATGCTTGGCTAATTTTTGTATTTTTAATAGAGACAGGGTTTTGTCATATTGATCAGGCTGGTCTCGAACTCCTAACCTCAGGTGATCCGCCCACCTCATCCTCCCAAAGTGCTGGGATTTCAGGTATGAGCCACCGCACCCAGCCAGGTGGGTCTTTAATGTCAGGAACCTGGCCACATGCGGTAGCTCACACCTGTAATCCCAGCACTTTGAGAAGCTGAGGCGGGTGGATCACCTGAGGTCAGGAGTTTGAGACCAGCCTGACAGCAATATGGTGAAACCCTGACTCTTAAAAAAAAAAAAAAAAAATGTCAGGAACCCTTTGCTTCCATGTAATTTCCAGCCACAGGTCCCAGTTCCCAAGAGCCAGGCCGTTCCTCTTCCACTTGAGTGACAGCCCTCCTCTTCCTCCAGGCCACCTCCTTTCCATACTGCTCATCTGCACTTCTCCCTTCTGACTCTCACATGTGCACGTAAAGACCTCTGGCCATCCTAAGACCTTCTCTGGATGAGCCTTGATGGTCGATGACCCCACATCCTGACACAGGGCAAGATGCAGAGGGACCATCATCTCTCTTGATCTGGTTTCTGTGCGTCCCTCAGTGCAGCTCACCATGGCACTTTTTGCCTGTGACATGTCACCAGGCTTCCTATCTGACCTGCAGCCACTCTGGTCTCTGAGCCTCCTGCTACTCAGTGTGTTCTGTGGAGCAGGAGCTCCAGCATCACCTGGGAGCTTGTCAGAAATGCAGCCTGGGGCTCTCCCCAGACCTGCTGCATGGGAATCTGCACTGGAACAAGATCTCCGAGTGATTCCTATGCACACTCAAGTTGGAGAGGCACTGGATTCTTGTTAATGCCTCAGCTAAATAAAGGGTTGAGGAGTAAGAACTTGAAGGAGGCAGCATGAGGCCTTGGCATCTCATGGAACTGGAATCACATTTTGCCTTTCCCCTCATCTCCTGCAAATACTCACTATGTGATCAAGGGCAAATTGCTCAACCTCCCTGAACTTCATTTTCTCCCTATCAATCAGCACAAATAATATGAGCTTATGGTTCTCCTCAAAGTTGCCATATCTCAGAAGGACCGGCACAGGGCAGGATTCAGAGCAGCTGCTGTAAGTGCTGGCTGCTTGCCCTCCCTCTACGTACCCTGGGGAGGCCACAGCAATGTATCTGGTGACTCAGAGAAGGCTGTGAGGAGATTTAAAGGGCCTCTTCCCAGCACGGGAAGCCTGGCACCCAGAGCCTATGGCCAGCCACCCTTTCTGGAGCATCATGGATCATGTAGTTGAAGCCCCCAGATGGTACAGAAGAGAACGGCAGGTGCCTGAGAGCATGTGGCACTCTGCAAGCTGGGGCTCTTTGCAAAGCAGCAGGAGGACTTCAGCCAAGGAGGTGCACAAGGAGGACAGGCTAGTGTTCAAGGGGGCAGATGCTGGCGTCCCTGCGGTGGTGTCCCCTCCTCCACCTGTCAGTGCCCAAACTGAGGCCAGCAACACCTCTTCTGAAGCAGAGTCACAGAGTGTGGATGTAGAGGCCCATGTCTCGAGAGAATAGCTGGACATCCAAACAGATTAAGGAACTCCATACAAGTGTCTGGATGCGGTGTAAAGGAGACCTCTACACAGAAGCTCCAGCCACACTCTGCTGTTCCCCAGTTACGTGACCTCGTCACTTTCCCTCCCAGAACCTCAGGCCTCTGCACTGCAGCGGATAGGCCATCCCTGTGGCCTTCCTCTCACTGAGTTAATTCAAGACAAAGCTCTCCTTTGTAAGCCAGACCCTTTCCATTCAGGCTATCACAGGGTGGCTCACTCGGCACCCCTTGTCAGCCCCACTCTCCTCTTCAATTCTCACTGTGGCTTTTTTGTTAATTCCTTTTCATGGCACAGCAAAAACTCAGTTAATTGTTTTAAAGACCTGACTTCTCTGATATAGCTCCTTAACTCCAGGTAAGCAGATACTTGAAAGTCATTGCCCTGAGACTGAATGAAGAGATAAAGTTCACAGATTTATTTCAAGTGACTTATCTGAAGATGGGGAAGGAGCAAGAAGTTGCTAGAAAACATGGTCTGTGAATTATTGACAGAGACAGTTGCTTCTGCAGATCCAGGTGCCCTTGCCAATCCAGGTACAGGTCTAAACTAGCAAACCAAATGCATTTTCTAGGTTTAAAGTAAAGGTGGGTGCTGATCTCCAGGATGATGAGCGAAGATGCCGACTCATCCGAGACGTGATTGGACCAGAGAAGACTTTGGTAAATATCCTCTCACTCCACAGAGAAGCAGCAGCCTTTGTCCAGGGCTAAATATAACTTGTTCCAAGCACAGATTAAAGAATATTGGGAATTTAAAAGCTTATTGTCAGAGGAAGTACAGTTCTATAGTCTTGCAGTAGGTGAACTCAAAAAAAAAGCGAAGGGACTGATAGTTTTACATTTCTTAATTCTGCAGAACTAGTTAAGTAAGTCTGGGGTTAAGGATCCTTTCTTGCTAACACAGCTGCACCTGAGCAAACATGTTTCCCATTGGTGCTCTGGTGTGTCAATCATTTAATCTCCCTTCCTAGCTCCTCAGGTAGGTGGGTGTCGGGGAGGCATTATTGAAGAAATGTTGTAACTTCAGCTGAGATAAATGTACGGATCAGTCATTTCTGATTGGTATTTTTATAAACCAGTTCTTATGTGTAAAATATTTTCATGAAAGAAAGTCAAAGTAAGATGTTTTTATGAGGCCTTAAAAGCTTTTTGCATAAGTTAAATAGAAATTTTGAGTTCTTGACCCAGGATCACTATTTATGCATGAATTAATGCTGTTTTTGTTTTATGAGATCATCCTTATCCAAATAACTTACGATACAAATTGATTCTGGGCTGGCCAGGCGCGGTGGCTCATGCCTGTAATCCTAGCACTTTGGGAGGCCAAGGTGAGTGGATTGCCTGAGCTCAGGAGGACGACAAGAGCAGCCTGGGCAACATGGCAAAACCCCATCTCTACCAAAAAATCCAAAAAAAAAAAAAAGATTCTGGGCCGAACACAGTGGCTCCTGCCTATAATCCTAATGCTTTGGGAGGCTGAGGCAGGTGGATCACTTGAGGCCAGGAGTTTGAGACCGGCCTGGGGTACCTACCAAGACTCCATCTCTAAATGAAAGAAGGAAAAATATTTAACCAGGTATGGTGGCACACGTCTGTAGTCCCACCTACTGTGGAAGATGAGGCAAGAAGATCACTGAGCCCAGGAGTTGGAGGCTGCAGTGAGCTACAGCAACACCACTGCACTCCTGCGTGGGCAACGGAGTGAGACCTAGTCTCTTAAAAAAAAAATTTTTATTCTGAGCATACTGTCCTCTGGTTCTCATAGTGTCCTGGGAGGGAGCTCTTATTACTTAGCACATTCTATGGAGATGTCTATTTTTGTGTTCTACTCCAAGCACAGTAAGATCAGGGATGAGGGGCTGTCCCTTAAGCAGGACACAGCCAGTACCTGGCTTCCAAGAATGGTAATGGCACACAGAGAGCCAGGGCCTAGGAGGGAGAGGACTGGACTTGAACTCACCATTGACTTGACTTACTGTTCTTAAACAAGTTACTTAATTTCTCTGCATGACAGTTTTCTTATTTGTAAAATGGGTTAATATGAACTGCCTCATGGGGCTATTATTATTATTATTATTATTATTATTTTGAGTTAGGGTCTCACTCAGTGACCCAGGCTAGAGTGCAGCGGCATGATCACAGCTCACTGTAGACTTGACCTCCCCTGGCTCAGGGGATCCTCTCAACTCAGGCTCCTGAGTAACTGGGACTACAGGTGAGAGCCACCACACCCAGCTAATTTTTGTATTTTTTGTAGAGACAGGGTTTCGCTATGTTGCCCAGGCTGGTCGTGAACTCCTGGGCTCAAGAAATCCACTGGATTCAGCCTCCCAAAGTGTTGAGATTACAGGCATGAGCCACCATGCCTGGCTGGTTATTATAAATATTAAATGGAACAAAATCCATAAAGTGCCTAGTGGAGTAGGTGCACCATTATGGAAGCATTTATGCTATTTATGACTGTGCCAGACACATAGTGGGAAGTAGTCAATAAATGACTATTGAACAAACTTATTGTTGATTGTGCATGATTCAGAATGTGACAAAATGGTTCCTACAAATACAACCAACATTGCAAGACACATGTATTTGGGTGGCATCTAAATGGCGATTGGACCAGAGCCCAAGGCCAGTGGGCACTTCTCATGGCCCAGCCCAGGGCACTGCCAGACATCCCAGCAGCTCCTCAGACAATTCACAGCTCCTCCAAAAGACTGTATCTGGAGCCAGAGTCCCTGTCTTGGTGGCTGCTCTTTGGCTCTTTTTATTAGGGCTGTGTGCTGGGCCTCAGCAGAGGTGTTAGGGGGTCTCACTCAGCTCTTGGTGGCACTGAGTGACAGCATTTCCTCCCTAGGAGCCACAGCCCTGCAGCAAGGTTGGCTCAGGGCAGACCTCCCTGTGAAGAATCTCTTTTTGCAGATGATGGATGCCAACCAGCGCTGGGATGTGCCTGAGGCAGTAGAGTGGATGTCCAAGCTAGCCAAGTTCAAGCCATTGTGGATTGAGGAGCCAACCTCCCCTGATGACATTCTGGGGCACGCCACCATTTCCAAGGTGGGAAAATGGCGGCTGCTGCTGCCATGGCAATTTATTTTTTTTGTTTAGTTTTCCAGAGTGCTGGAAACAGATCCTGAAATTTCTTCACTTGCTCCCTCTTGCATTTCCTGATAAAGTAGCTGAAATAATTGTAATGTGTGACAAACACTGGGGTTACGGGCCTGATGTTCCCTTGTCTTCTTCAGCTTATACTTTGCCCTTATTTCGGTTTGTTTTAGATAAAGTAAGCTGCTGAAAGCTGAAAGGCTACCAGCAATTTGAAGGCTAATAGACATGGTTCCTATACTTTGTAAATATAGAAATGTGATAGGTGTGCGTGTGTCTGTGTGTGTGTGTGTGTGTGTGTGTTGTTGTTGTTGTTTTGTTTTGTTTTGTTTTGTTGAGATAGCATCTCACTCTATTGCCCAGGCTGGAGTGCAATGGTGCCATCTCGGCTCACTGCAACCTTCGCCTCCCAGGCTCAAGCAATTCTCGTGCCTCTGCCTCCCAAGCAGCTGGAACTACAGGTGCGCAGCACCATGCCAGACTAATTTTTCGTATTTTCAGTAGAGACGGAGTTTCACCATGCTGGCCAGGCTAGTTTCAAACTCCTGACCTCAGGTGATCTGCCTCCCATAGCTTCCCAAAGTGCTGGGATTACAGGTGTGAGCCACCACACCCTGCCAGAAATGTGATAGGTATTATAAGACTCTTCCCCAGAATGAAACAAAAAGTGAAGATTCCTTCGGATGACTCAAAAGGAAAGGTTTGCTTAGCTAATGTCTAGGTCAGAGGTCTCCCCAAGAGAAGGCAGCCTGTCTGTTTTCCAAGAGCCCTCGTGATAAATTCACACTAATTGAAGCCAGTCTTTCTCCCTTTCAGGTTTAGAAAGAACTTGAAACATGGGAACATCTGAGTAACATTCTGTGACCCGGGCAGTCTCCCATTACTCAAGTTTGCAGCACTGCTCTACACAGCCAGAGTGCCAGCCAGTTTATTTATGAAGAGAACTTTAACTTCTAGCAATCTCCATAAGAAGCTGTATTAAGCCAAAGGCTGCCAGATGAGTGAGGAATCAGGGCAGGGACTGGCTATGGGATTTGAATATGTGATGGTGTCAGACTGCAGTGCCCAGTCCATCCATCTCTGAGCTTGGATATACTGTCCCTCCCCAATGGCCACAGGCCTAGCTAACATTTGCCTTTGATGCCTCTTTTGTGTTTTTTACTTTCTTTCTTTCTTTCTTACTTTCTTCTTTCTTTCTCTCTCCCTTCCTTCCTTTTTTCTCTCTCTCTTTCTTTCTTTCTCTTTCTTTCTTTCTTTCTTTCTCTCTCTCTCTCTCTTTCTTTCTTTCTCTCTTTCTTTCTTTCTTTTTCTTTCTTTGATAGAGTCTTGCTCTGTTACCTAGGCTACAGTGCAGTGGCACAATCTCGACTTACTACAACTTCTGCCTCCCAGGTTTAAGCGATTCTCCTGCTTCAGCCTCCCAGGTAGCTGGGACTACAGGTATGTGCCACCACACCTGGTGAATTTTTTTTTTTTTTTTTGTATTTTTAGTAGAGATGGAATTTCACCACATTGGCCAGGCCAGTCTCGAACTCCTAACCTCAGAAGATCCGCCCACCTTGGCCTCCCAAAATGCTGGGATTACAGGTGTGAGCCACCATGCCCGGCCTTGTGTTTCCATCTGATAATTTTTTTCTCCTGCATGCTAACTGGTTTGGCACAGTCATGTGGACATAACAATGTTTCCGTTGCGGAAGACTGTGAATGATGGCGCAGCATAAATAATCCCATAAGGTTATAATGGAGCTGAAATGCTCATTGCCTAGTGACATTGTAGAGATTGACTAGAGATGTCCTAGTGCAACGCATTACCTTCCCTGTGTTTAAGTATGTTTAGATACTGGCCATTGTGTTGCAGTTGCCTGCAGCATTCGGTACAGTAGCATGCTATACAGTTTTATAGCCTGGGAGCAATAGGCCATGTCATATAGTCTAGGTATGGAGTAGTCACTGCCATCTGGGGTCATGTAAATATGCTCTGTGATGTTCACACAATGACGAAATCACCTAAGGGCACATTTCTCAGAGGGTATTCTTGTCATTAAGTGACAAGACTGTATGTTCATGTGGCTTATAGCCACATCCTGCCTGCCTAGCAACATTTTTCCTGAGGTGACTTTGCACAGCTGCACACTCCCCATTCTGTGTTGATCTTACACCTTTAACTCTGATGGAGCAGTCTTGGTTCCAGTTCTAGGAGGGACACCTTGATCATCCCATATAAACTCATGGGTCGTACTGGAGGTACAGAGTTGGGGGCTCAGGGACCAGTTCTCCGTTTCTCTCAGCAAATCAGCATGTGATCTATGTTATGTGGGATGCTCTGCCAAAGCCTGGGTTTCAGAAATACCCTCCTCCTTCACTTTGCAGCCTCTCCAGAGAGAAAAGCTGAGATACGTGAACAAAGACTGGAAGAATCTGAGCCAGGGCACTGAATGCCGAGCACAGTAGAAAAGTTCATTGAGGAGGACGTTGGGTGTGGGATGGAACGAGGGGGACGGCCAGAGCTGACTCCGTAAGGAAAGCTAAGCCCCAGGTGAGGGAAGGGTGAACAGGAGCCACAGACCAACCACAGCCTTCGTTATTTAAACAGAACCCAAACTTTCCAAGGAATCATTGCACAACAGGAATCTCAGGTGAGGAGCCACAGGGAAACAAGACTTTTCACCTTGGGTCCCACTTGCTTTTTCTTCTTAGGTGTCTTACAGGGTGGCTATGGCCTGCTGAATGCCAGCTGGCCAGCACCAACCTGATCTCTGCCCACTTGAGCATCTCCTAGGAAGCTCCTCAGGGCTTTAACCCTCTGAGGTTTTGATTACATAGAGGAGGCCCCTTAGGAGTGTATCTGAGGGAGGAGCAGCTGCAGAGCCTGCAGGTCCACGCAGGGACAGTGGAGATGCCCAAGGGAACACAGGACACACACCAGGGAGCTGTTAGACAGGCTGGCACGAGGGGCTGGATTATGGGGTCTGTCCACTCAGAGGATGCAGCCAGTCAGTGAGCCGGGGCAGCTTCTCCAGTGAAAGGACGGCATGGTGACAGCTGGAGCACAGATGATGTGATTGGTGGCTACATGCAGAGTACACTGAGACAGAGGGTGTGTGGGAGGTGAGGAACGGACAGGGAGAAATCCAGGCAGGGATGGGAGTGAGAAGGCTTGTCCAGGCATCTGGGAGAGATAAAGGGAGAGGGCAGCTCAAATAGAGCAGATTCAGGAAATATTAAAAACATTTGGCCCCTAGTCAGTGCCAGAAACATATATGCTTAAAATGCTAGAACGAATAAGTCAAATGGCCTTTCCTCTTCCCCCTTCCTCCATTTCTCCCTTTCTCTTCTCTTTCGAGATAAAGAACAAAGAATACTCAAATTAGAAATTTTAAGAAGCACCAGGCGTGGTGGCTCATGCCTGTAATCCCAGCAGTTTGGGAGGCCAAGGTGGGCAGATCACAAGGTCAGAAGTTCAAGACCAGCCTGGCCAACATGGTGAAATCCCCGTCTCTAATAAATGAATAAATAAATTTTAAGAAGCATAAAATGTTAGCTTGAAAAGGTGCCTTACAGACCATCTGCTCAAACTAAGACCTTCTTCAGGTGAGGAGGCCGAGGCTTTCAGTGGCACAGGTGGGGCTTGCCCAAGGCCACACATCCTATGAGAGGCAGGGCCAGCACTGGAATCAGGGACACTTGGCTCATGAATGCAGGGATATTTCTGCTGAGAAGTTGGCTTAGTCTAATGATTCAGAGTGGAGTTCCAGCCCAGGCTCTACCACTTTCTAGCTTTGTGATCCGGGAATAGTTCACACCCGGCACACTTGTTTTCTTATTTTCTATAAAATGGGGATAACGATGGCTCCTCTCCCACTAATTGAGACCAGGAATCTTTAAGTCAGTGTTTTGCACAGCACCTGACAGGTACTTAGCGCTCCAAAAGTGTTAGCTATTAGTGTGAGTGGTATGATCCTAAACAAAGGGAAGGGAAACCAGGGAGAAACCAAGGATGCCTGCAGAGAGGAGCTGTGGAGCCACAGTCCCAGTAGAGGATGGAGGGGAGTGCCCAGAGCCCATGTGGCAGGTGAGTGAGGTAGTGTTCAGGGGCCAGATGAGAGGACAGAGAGCAGCAGGGCTGTGTTCAGGTACAGAGTTCAGTACCTCACCAGGTGAGGAGTCTACCAGGTAAGCAATGGGCTCAGCCTAATCTGCAGATTGAGGTCTAAGGCCACCCACTGAGCTGGAAGGAAAATGATTTTTTTTTTTTTTAGTTTTCTTCATGGCTTTTTCCTGCCTTAAGGAAGATTTTGGAATCAACAAAGACATGAGGCCAGGTGCAGTGGCTCACACCTGTAATCCCAACACTTTGGGAGGCCGAGGTGAGCTGATCATCTGAGGTCAGGAGATCAGCCTGGCCACAATGGCAAAATCCTGACTTTACTAAAAATACAAAAATTAGCCAGGTGTGGTGGCGTGCACCTGTAATCCCAGCTACTCAGGAGGCTGAGGCACGAGAATCGCTTCCACCCGGGAGGCAGGGGTTGCAGTGAGCTGAGATCATGCCACTGCACTGCAGCCTGGGTGACAGAGCAAGACTCGGTCTCAAAAAAACAAAAAAAAATATGCTGGGCGCAGTGGCTCATGCCTGTAATCCCAGCACTTTGGGAGCCCAAGGTAGGTGGATGATGAGGTCAGGAGCTCAAGACCAGGCTGGCCAACATGGTGAAACCCCATCTCTACTAAAAATAAAAAAATTAGCCAGGTGTGGTGATGGGCTCCTGTAATCCCAGCTATTCAAGAGGCTGAGGCAGAGAATTGCTTGAACCTGAGAGGCAGAGGTTGCAGTGAGCTGAGATCACCCCACTGCACTCCAGCCTGGGCAACAGAGCGAGACTGTATCTCAAAAAAAAATATGTGTGTGCGTGTGCGTGTGCGTGTGTGTGTGTGTGTGTGTGGGTTCTAGAAGGAGGTTTCTCAATGAGGCAACACAAAGGGAATCGAGGGAGTGGTGACCCACAGGAAGGAGTGGGCCGAAGGTTGGACCCTGTGAGTTCACAATCAGCCGCTCCGAGTGACCCTGTCCTTACGCCACTGCGCAGGCTGGAGAGGGAAGACACTGCAGGAGACCTGCAAAGCCCTGGCCAGGAACGGGGCTGGTGGCAGCAGCTCAGCAGCACTCCCCTTCTCCTCTGCAGATACATGGAGCCCTTCGTGTTCTCCTGGACATCCTTCTGCCAGTCTTGAATCTTCAGGTCTCAACAGCAGGGCCATTTCCTCCTTCAGCTATAAATGTTTTTAAACATTAGGAGTTGCAGTTCAAAACATAGGAAAATAACACGAGGCTGCCTTCTATTTCACAGGCACTGGTCCCGTTAGGAATTGGCGTTGCCACAGGAGAACAGGTGAGTGATGTCCCTTTGGGGTCAGTACACGCTGACCAGTGACTGGGGGACACAGTTGTGTGTTAGGCTCCATTATCTGCTGTACTGAGTTGGGAAATTTTCATCATCTTAGAAATTGGGTCATTTTATCAGAGTCTGGAGTCAGATATAGAAAACGTTTGTGGCCATTTCTCCAATTCATATGACTAAGGTCAGGTATCTTTTTCAAAGTGTCTAATTGAAATTGACAAGGCAGCAATTTCAAGTTGCTACTGCAAGTGCAGAAAATGGTTTTAAGAAAGCCGGCTTTCGAATTGAATAAACATGACTGTGTTCACTTTCTGAGCTTATAAATGAAGCCCAAGTGTCTGCCAAAACCTGTGGCAGTCAGCCCACGAGGAGAGCAGCATGAGGAGCAGATTCTGTTTTCCCAGCAAAAGGAGCAATACTGTTCTGCCATAGTACCGTGTCGTCATCTGTGCCACCTGCTCATCACTGTCACTGTATTTCATCCTGGTGCTTCGGTTCATCTCCCACTTGTCACTCACTGTGACAGTCATTCCCTCTTAAATGGCAAGCCAGTGTGATTTTGACCTGACTCACACTGTTGCATTAGCAGATTTGTAAAGTGGACAAAAGGTCCCTGCCCACACTATAAAAGCTTGCCTCATGCCCAGTGAGAACAAAGAAGAAATACAATTTGGGCTTCCTGAAGGCCACTGATGCATAATGACTGGCATAGAGTAGCTACGTTGCCAGGTTTAGAGATCCTAAAGGCCAAGGCTGACTTCTGTTGGTGTTATTTTCAATTCTATTTCCAGTGCCACAATAGAGTGATATTTAAGCAACTCCTACAGGCGAAGGCCCTGCAGTTCCTCCAGATTGACAGTTGCAGACTGGGCAGTGTCAATGAGAACCTCTCAGTATTGCTGATGGCCAAAAAGTTTGAAAGTAAGGGCGCTGCAGACCAGACCTTCATTTCCCCACTAATCAGACACCTCCCTTGATGGCTTGGAATTCACATGCACAGGAGTCTGTAGTTTGCCATTTCAATTGTTTTTCTAACTTTCATGTAACCTTAATCCAGGAATTGTTGATGATTTTCATCTTGGAATTTCATTCCTAAATGAATGATTTAATCACCTGTGGGCAATAAGAAAAACCAGAAAGTTCCCTTTCATCCCTTCCTCTCTCTGCCCTACTCTTGGCATTAAATAGAAACGATTTCCTTTTAGTTCCTGTTTGCCCCCATGCTGGTGGAGTGGGCCTCTGTGAACTGGTGCAGCACCTGATTCTATTTGACTACATATCAGTCTCTGCAAGCCTTAAAAACAGGTCAGTAATGTGGCATTAATACTTTCTGCTTCAGTAGGGTTCCTCAATCCAGGCCAGAGCTTGTAAATTCTGCCTTCATGACCAAAATCACCAAGACCTTGTCCACGGGCCCGTCCTATAACTCTCAGGCGGAGCTGGTTTTGCTTCCACTTCTCCACACGGGGAAGTAAAAGCACAGACCCACCAGCAGTCATTTTGCCTGCTAGGATGGGGTCTGGTAGCTGACTCACTTTACTTTTTAAGTATGTTGAAGGTGAGGCTTGCAGCCACACTACTCCCTCAGCCAGATCCTGTTTTCATCACATGTATTCTGTACTTTCGTCCAATCTCCTTTTCCCAACGCTGGAGTCTTCCATGATCTGGACGCACATTTATTTCATCTTATTTTCAGAATGCCCGGGTGGCCTTTAAATTAGGACAATCTCCCCCAGTCATCTGCACACATATGGCTTTGCTTTGCTTGTTATGCTTTTCTTATCTCCTGGAATTAAATGTCTCACAGAAAGATCACTACAAGTATACAGCAAAGGCACAAAAGCATGCATTGAGAAAGGAAAACACCAAATTTAGCACTGTGAGAGGTAAATGGGACCCTTGAGGGTACACAGGAGGCTTCAGTAATAATGGTAACAGTTTCTCTCTTCAGGGGGTGAGTAGACAGGTGCTGTCCTTTAATATAGCTGGACTATTTTATACTGTATTAGTCTATTGCTCTGCAATAAATAAATACCTGAGACTGGGTAATTTATAAAGAAAACAGGTAGGCTGGGTGTAGTGGCTTATACCTGTAATCCCAGAACTTTGGGAAGCTGAGGAAGGCAGATCATGAGGTCAGGAGATCGAGACCATCCTGGCTAACACGGTGAAACCCCCAGCTCTACTAAAAATACAAAAATTAGCTGCATATGGTGGCGCACGCCTGCAGTCTCAGCTACTGGGGAGGCTGAGGCCAGAGAATTACTTGAACCCGGGAAGTAGATGTTGTAGTTGTTAGCCAAGATCGTGCCACTGCACTCTAGCCTGAGCGACAAGAGCGAAAATCCGTCTCAAAAAAAAAAAGTTTAATTGGCTCACAGTTCTGCAGGCTGTACAGGAAGCATAGCAGCTTCTGCTCAGCTTCTGGAAACTTAAAATCATGGTGGAAGGTGAAGGGGAAACAAGCATTTCTCATGGCCGAGAGCAGGAGGAAGAGAGTGGGGCGAGGAAGATGCTACACACTTTTAAACACCAGATGTTGTGATAACTATCTTGAGTACAGTGCCAGAGAAAGGGTGCTAAACCATTCATGAAAGACCACCTCCCATCATCCAATCACCTCCCAGCAGGCCCTGCTGCCAACATTGGGGATGACAGTTCAACATGAGATTTGGGCAGAGACACAAATCCAAACCATATCAGCCTGCCTATCACAGCTGTTCAATAACAGGTGATGGAAGTCAGGCAGCAGAGCTCAGGCACTTGCCCCAAGCCTCAAAAATCCAAAGTGGCTGACGCAGAACCTGAACACAAATTGATCTGATTCTAAATCCTCTGCTCTTCATGTAAATCATTCGTATAGCTGAAAGGAACCTCATTTGGTGATTTCATTTTTTGGGTGGAGTATGGAATGTATTTTACCTGGGTTCGGTTCCTTAGACGTCTCGGTTCTTGGATGGGGGTGAGTATGTCCCACCTCCCTAAGTTGTGGTCCCATGGGTCTGTTGGGATTGCTTTCCAGGTGCAAACTACACTGAGAAAGCTTCACAGTGCTAATGTTCCCTAGGTGCTCAAATGAGGCAGTGTCAAAATGGCCTCCCAACCCTGCCTGCCAAAAAGCCCCCAAGCCCCTGGCAACTGCTACAGCCATATGAAAAAATACAAATGCTTCTTGAAAAACAGATCACAGCATTTGGTGATTTTAATCTATTCATCTAACTTTTGACCAGAGGAACCCAAATAATTCCAGATATTCACAGAGTCTGAATTGGTGCTTTCTAAAAGGCATCACAAAACCTCTCAAGTGACTTTGTGGTTCATTTCATCGAAGTCCCCACCCCACATTGCTGCATTTTAGATGAAAAGCACCTGAGACACAGAGGTGTAGGGGCTTGCCTAGAAACTTGTGGTAACACAGCTAAGCCTTGGCCGACTCTGTCATTTCAGTGGTACTTGCCCCTTCTGCTTTAAGTTAGCACCATGTGAATGATCTGACTTCAGATATCATTGCCCTAATCTGATTCCCTCCTCCTAGGATGTGTGAGTATGTTGACCACCTGCACGAGCATTTCAAGTATCCTGTGATGATCCAGCGGGCTTCCTACATGCCTCCCAAGGTGCGCTGTGGCCTGCGGAACCCTGCAGAGGAGATGCTGCCAGCCACTACCACACCTGTCTCATGAACTAGACAATAGAGCACCAAACTTTGACTCTGGTTTATTTGCAATATCCAGAAACAAACGGTTCTTCAGTTTGTCAGTATCAAAATCGTCAGGCCTGAAGGCCAGGGCTTGGAGGTTAAATTGCCTCTGACAAGGCTTCTCTAACATTAGCCTTTCCTCACTAGTGGAGACCTTAACATTTGCACTCCTTGTGCAAAAAGACTGGCACCATCTAGCAAGTTAGTGACCTAAAATGTTTTGACTACAATCGTGTGGTTGGGGCCATTTATTCTGATCATGTTCAAGAGATCATGGCTCATTTTCACCAAGAGAAGTCAAGCTATTATCAGAGTTTGATGAGTTTAGTTAACTAACCCTGGCAAGTAGCCAGTAAAATGTGTTCCTCTGCCCTATTTTCAACAATGTCAAAACTTAAAAATATTAATTCAGGGCTGGGTGTGGTGGCTCACACCTGTAATTCCAACACTTTGGGAGGCCAAGGCTAGTGGATCATTTGAGGTCAGGAGTTCAAAAGAGCCTGGCCAACATGGTGAAACCCCATCTCTACTAAAAATACAAAAAATTAGCCAGGCATGGTGGTGGATGCCTGTGATCCCAGCTACACAGGAGGCTGAGGCAGGAGAATCGCTTGAATCTGGGAGGCAGAGGTTGCAGTAAGCCGAGATCGCACCACTGCACTGCAGCCTGGGTGACAGATGGAGTGACTACATCTAAAAAGAAAAAGCAAAACAAAAAACTAATCACCTCTGGCTTAGACGTAAAAGCATTTCTTGGAGGAGCAGAAATACATAAAATCTGTTTTTGTTCCAGGTGGTTGTTAAAGTGACTTGACTTAATTTTTTTTATCTTTGATAGGATGCTGGCTACTCAACAGAAATGAAGGAGGAATCTGTAAAGAAACACCAGTATCCAGATGGTGAAGTTTGGAAGAAACTCCTTGCTGCTCAAGAAAATTAACTGTTCAGCCCCAACACCTTTTTTCTTTCTGAAGTGAAAAGGCTTAAAATTTCTTGGAAATAGTTTTACAAAAATAGATTTTTAAAAAATCCAAGATTGCACCTACCAAGATAAACTTTTAGTTCAGCTAAAAGTCATACACCCTTAGGAATCAGCTCAGTAATTATTACTTGATTCTTTTAACAAATCAATACACATTATCCTACTTAATCCTTGAATAGGTCTAGATTTAACTAACCCAAAGTCCAGGAAGATGTTGTTAAAAAAATTTCTATCAAGGGCTGGCACCTAGACATTAAACTGTACTTTGAAAACAAGCAACGTGTTGTATAACTTGTTGGAATAATTCCTTGTTCTATTTAATGCTTGTCATAAATTAGCAGAATAAAAATAGTTGTGCAACACCAGGGGGTATCGGGTATGCAACAAAGGGAAAAAATTTCACTCATTAGCCCCGAAGTGGTTTTGGATCTTTTTCTTGCTTGATCTAAACATATTATTAGAGTTCACACCATGCTGAAGCTAATTAGGGCAAAATGGTATTCCACAGACTATTTTTAAATAACCCTTTAAGGTTGTAAGTTTAAAAAAACAAACAACAAAAAAACCTCTTTCCTAAATGGTCATTACAGTTTGAGGATAAGATGCAGTTAAAATGAGATGGCTCATGGAAAAACAGGGCAAAATATAGTCACTATGTCTAAACAATATTCTTTTAAGTAGCACCCAAACCAGAATACAGCACATGTTTATTGAGGAGAGTTCTGTTAAATCTATTTTAAGCAGGAACTGAGCAGATAAGTGGCAATACAGAATGAACAAAGTGTGGACAAATGCAGAATACTTCTTTATTATAGCAACTTATAAAACAACTGTAACATTAAATGTACAATAACCACACTCTACATTATGATTGATGGTGTTACTCAGCATCCTTAGATTTGAGAGAAAAGCTTGTGAAATTCTCGAAATTCACCAACCTTCTTTATAAAGACATGGGATTGAAATGTACCTACATATTTTTGCTAAAGTCATACACATTTCATTCTCCTCACTTTGTTCATAATCTCAGTATTTTCAGATACCCTCTGTGAGTTAACTCAAAGCCTTTTATTATGGAAAGAACTGGCACACTTACATTTGCCAGTGGCAACATCCTTAAACACTAATAACTAATAGGTCACGGACAGATTTTTGACCTAGTTCCTTTTTCTTTTAGAGCAAAAAGAACTTTTACCTTGGTATCCAGCCCAGCCCCTGAAGACTGACAATATCCTTCACGCTCCTTTGAAAGCATCCTAAACAGCCATTTCCATTTTAATAGTTGGATGCGGATTGTACCCTTCAACCTTAAAGTCTTCAGCTTTGAAGTCATCAATTTTCTCAACTTTTCGAAGAATCTTGAGCTTTGGGAAAGGTCTGGGTTCTCGCTGAAGCTAAAAACAAAGTAAGACTGTTATTTTGCCATAACTCTACAACCTGCTGTAATTGCTCCTCATGTCCATGAAACAAGTACACAGGATGTGATCAAGTTTTATTTAACAGGAGTATGATGCTCTAGATACCTTGCCGTAGGTTATGCAACACGACTGGAGCGTAACCAGCTGTTCTCTTGCACAGATCGAGAGTGACATTACACAGTGACAGGAGCCTCGTGCCTCATCAAGTGTAAGTTCTTTTTTTTTTTTTTTGAGACGGAGTTTCGCTCTTGTTACCCAGACTGGAGTGCAATGGCGCGATCTCGGCTCACCGCAACCTCCGCCTCCTGGGTTCAGGCAATTCTCCTGCCTCAGCCTCCTGAGCAGCTGGGATTACAGGCACGTGCCACCATGCCCAGCTATTTTTTGTAGTTTTAGTAGAGACGGGGTTTCACCATGTTGACCAGGATGGTCTTGATCTCTTGACCTCGTGATCCACCCGCCTCGGCCTCCCAAAGTGCTGGGATTACAGGCGTGAGCCACCGCGCCCAGCCAAGGTGTAAGTTCTTATAATTACTCTTGGCAAATTTATTAAAGACAGGAACACAGTCAATCTGTAACTCATAGTAGCTCTAAGTTTGCTTGAATTCCACAATCCCTAACCCAACTGTCCCTGGCAGAAAGAAGGGAAGATGAATGCATGGACAGTGAACAGAAAGGGATTAAAGCCAGGAGTCCTGGGATGAACAGACAGTGGCAATTAGGATGTGAAGACAGGATGTGAAGACCTGTTACTATGTCTAAAAACGACTGGAGCGGAAAGCCAGAGAATAAGCCTTAAGTCACCCTCCACTCAAGAGCAGTGAAGCTCCCTCAAAGGAGTGACTTTTTTTTTTTTTTTTTTTTTTTTTTTTTTTTTTTTTTGAGACAGAGTCTCACTCTGTTGCCCAGGCTGGAGTGCAGTGGCGTGATCTCTGCTCTCCGCAACCTCCACCTCCCGGGTTCAAGTAATTCCCTGCCTCAGCCTCCTGATTAGTTGAGATTAGCGGCCCGCCACCATGTCCAGCTAATTTTTTGTATTTTTATTAGAGATGGGGTTCCACCATCTTAGCTAGGCTAGTCTTGAACTCCTGACCTCATGATCCACCTGCCACAGCCTCCCAAAGTCCTGGGATTACAGGTGTGAGACACCACACCCAGGAGTAACTTTTAAAATCTGGATCTAACCTGGAAGGGGCTAAAAGGTTTCTGGTTCTGAGTCTTTTTTTCCTTAGGGCTCATGAAGCAGATGAACTTATACTTTTATTGCCATTTCAAATCATTTGTTGTCTGCTATGACTTAGGGATTTGGACAGACTTTTGAAGTTCAGACCTAAATAGTGCACTTAATGTAAAATTAATGAAAAACATTTGTGCTCAGCACTTTGGGAGGCCAAGGTGAGCAGATCACGTGAGGTCAGGAGTTCGAGACCAGCCCGGCCAACATGGTAAAACCCTATCTCTACGAATAATACAAAAATTAGTTGGGCATGATGGCATGTGCCTGTAGTCCCAGCTACTTGGGAGACTGAGGTGAGAGAATCACTTGAACCTGGGAGGTGGAGGTTGCAGTGAGCCAAGATTGAGCTACTGCACTCCAGCCTGGCAGACAGAGCAAGACTCCATCTCAAAAAAAAAAAAAAAGAAAAAAAGAAAGAAAAACATTTGCACTTCAATTCTCCTTCAGGTTAAAATATGAATTAAAATGCTCCCTTTTGGATAATTTCCTGGCTTGAATGTGGCTCTTCCCTCTCTGGTACTGGTGCTTGGTACCTTACAGCACCTGGCATGTTAAATGCCCATGGTTGCTGAGGCAGAGGCCTGCCTTGTCCTACCCACCTACCCACCACTTCTCCCTAAACTGAAGCCCCACATTCGGAGCAGTCATCTTTATCTTGGACACAGCATTGAGCAGACACCTGTTCCATAATCAACCTTTTATTAAGAGAAGATACCAAACCCAAAAGTATAACATCTAATTCTTACCTGAATTTTCAGTGGCTCGATGTGATTCAGGTAAATATGTGCATCTCCCAAAGTATGTACAAAGTCACCTGGCTATAAACCCCAGGGGAGAAAGCAGAACAGCGTGTTAGTTTCAATTCCTTTAAACATCATTTAAAATCATTAGAGTATGCAGACACCTCAAGGCTTTTAAAAAAAATAATTTAACCAGTGTAGTTTTTTAATTTTTTTGTAGCGACAGGTCTTGTTATGATGCCCAGTCTGGTCTTAAACTCCAGACCTCAAGCGCTTGCTCCTGCCTCAGTCTCCCAAAGTGCTGGGGTTAGAGGCATGAGCTACCATGCCCAACCACCACATAGCTTTTGAGAAAATTCACAGAAGCTGTACCACAAACAATCTCTACAGACCTGTTAGTATATATAGACCACAGGGCCAGAAAAGCTCCACAAAAGGTTTCAAAGTAAAAGCCGGTTCATGTCTTACTTATCATAGCAAATTTAAAAACTAATCAGACTAAACTCTCTGCTATTTGTTTTTCCATATTAAAGAACTGTAGAGCTCAGTGTGTTAGGCTGGCAACAATCACCTTTCCCAAGATAGCCCACCTTCAGGCCTGTGATGTGCGCGATCATGTACGTGAGCAGGGCGTAGCTGGCAATGTTGAAAGGCACACCTAGGCCCATGTCTCCTGATCTCTGGTACAGCTGGCAGGACAGCTCACCGTTCACCACGTAGAACTGGCAGAGGGCATGGCATGGAGGCAGCGCCATCAGTGGAAGATCTGAGGAACCAGCACAGAGGAAGATAAGGAGGGGTGGTGGTTTGAAAGACCACAGCTAAAGGCAAAGTAAAACAGGAGAGAAACAGAAGCCAACTCATACAGTGGAGACCAGGAAAGCAAGCCACCAGGCTGCAGGGATGTCCATAACCCACAGCCCCCACAGCCACGGCATGGAGCTGAGATAGACTGACTGTCCATTGGCACAAGGTTTCTGCAGATGTACATTTACGGCTGAAGCAATGCTCTTCCATCAGAGCTGAAGGGATCTGGGCTACCTTCGTGGCACTCAGTTACAAATGCAGCAGGAATAATTCCATTTGCCACAGGAAACTGGTGCTTCAGGCACAGCTCCTATATTAAAAGTCTCTATTACATGGCCAGGCACAGGGGCTCATGCCTATAATCCCAACACTTTGGGAGGCCAGGGTGGGCAGATCATTTGAGGCCAACTTGAGTTCAAGACTAGCCTGGCCAACATAGCAAAACCCTGTCTCTACTAAAATTACAAAAATTTGTGCACCTGTGGTTCCAGCTACTTGGGGCCTGAGACATGGGAATCACTTGAACCCGGGAGGCGGAAGTTGCCATGAGCCGGGATCACACCACCGCACTCTAGCCTGTGCAACAGAGTGAGACTGTGTCTCAAAAAAAAAAAAAAAATTATCTATTACAGATGCAAATATTCCACCCTAAGTACTTATGACATCCTGATAAGAGTTTTTGTTTGTTTTTGTTAATACTCAGGGTCTCACACTCTGTTGCCCACGCTGGAGTGCAGTGACATGATCATGACTCACTATAGCCTCGAACTCCAGGGCTCAATTGATCCTTTCACCTTGGCCTCTGGAGTTGCTGGAATTATAGGTGTGAGCCACCACTCCTGGCCCTACACCCTGGCAGAGTTGAATTTTACAATAAAATTGTTTAAAATGTTAATAATAGTGAGGTGGCAGCGACCTGGAACTTCATCTGCTTCAATTTAAAATTTTAAGATCTTACATGTAGTTTCTAGGCAATTTAAAGCCCTTTTTGGAGTAAGAATGAGTATAAATACACAAATTAAGATCATCTGGGCCCAATCTCATGATCTGAAGGTGAAAGTGGAGCAAAA